AGATTTGCGTTAGGTAGGCTACCATTTGTTTTGTGTCCCGTAATATTTTACTTCAATATGTTCCAACACGTTTCTCCAATACTTCACAAAGACTCCATAATAGATACCTGTAAGTAAGTATACTCCCTATACTTCACAGATGTTCGTCAACTACTGCTAAGTTAACGAACGTTTGAGGATCCGCAGCCTTTGTTAGTCATCACCCCTAAATCTCTTACTGCATATTACTTAATTTGTGTGTGAATTTTATTTCGCGATATGTGCATGTTCGCTTTATTCGCAAATACTTCAATTTGCATTTTAGATATTGTAATCTCAATATTGACGGTTATTATCTCTGGAAATATATTTTCGCCTAAAATTTTATTTCGCGATTGAATCTTCTCGTGAATGTAAATGGATTTACAGTGAGTGTATATAAGAAATGTTGGTAAAGTGGCCATAACTGCTGAGATCAAATTTTAATGTGCTGAACGAATGTATTTGGTGCTTTATCATATATATTACGTATGGATTTCAATCCACCTCGTTAAGTATTTAATTTCCGTATAAACATTATCCTGACGGTATCGTCATATCGCGTGTTGGTTCGTCTGTGTCATTTTACCCTGTCCAAGATATAAATAAAGTTATCTGAATACAGCCAAACTACCCGTGGGTGGGGGCCTGTTACGTTACGTCCTGTCAAATATTTAGACCGGCATTGTTCGGTGTTTGATTAAAACTGTCAAAAATGTGACGAATTAACAAAACATGGTCAGTTTATCAGATAGTGTATATTTCAGGACCGGAATTTTGTGCGGGTAACGGGTCATGGGTTCAAGTCTCGAAGGAGATATTGTATGTCCGTATTGTCAATTTGACGGTGCTATCAGCGGGAGCTGACAGACTGGGTGTGTCAATCACTCCTTTACCAATATATAAGTATTATTGTACCTTGTATACAGCGTGGCATGAATCGTTGAGACTTGTACGTATACGTGTAAATGTTAAAGTCCAGGCCGTTCTAGTCACACCCTTACTGAACAACATTACCAACTTTATATTGGGCTGTCGTTATAATGGCATGAGTTATACCTGTGAGATTTTAGTAACTACTATGATAAAACAGTTGTAACAAACTTGCTTAATATAAAACAGATGATTTTTTTTTTAAATCTTTGTAATTTTTGTAATGTAAAACGTAATATGCATGAATGTTTTGACTTGGATACAAAATAATAACAATTACCAAACGGTATATGCATGACAGGGATATAAAATGAACACCGTCAGATATATGAGACAAACATAATCTTATTTGTTCTTTTTAAAATTATAAAATTAAAACATTAAATTGACCATTCCTATAAACAAAATGAAGTTTACCACATCCACCACTTTATTCAGTACACCAGGTTTGAGCTGAAATACTTTTATGAATGACGTAGATTGTCGTCCATATATTACTCTGAATAATGTATGCACCCGGCCAACACTGGTTAAATCTCACAATACCGAACCACATTTCATTGAGGAAAAACTTGTGTGATACAAGACGGAGATAACTGAATGGGATCTCCCTGTCGTCTTCCTGGCTTTAATAAAAAGACATGAAAGAGCATTCACGCATGTGAGATCGGACAGATAATGCGGCGAGGTAAACAGGTCAAACAATGCTAATAAAACGCAGATTAAATGATACCTCATTTATCCGCGAGTCTTAAGCACAGGAACGTAGCACCTCTCGAATAAAACCATTTAAATTGCAGCCATTCAAAGGTGCAAGCTTTATAGACGACACGAGAACGTGTGAACCGTCTTCACCAATGATTAACATTACATTGCCATTTATATCACGATAAGTGGGAGGCGCGTGATGGACATAGATACCCCAATGCCAAATCCGCACACGGGTACACTATGGCGATTACATTAATATAACTGGTGCTATATAAGCCTGACTTTACACTGTGACAAGAGTGAAAACAAATGTACAAATTTATCAAAACATTTATGCTCTAAAATTTTGTTCAGATTTGAAATTGATGCAAGGATATTAAAAAAACATTATTAAGGCGTCAATGTTACATTCAGACTGGAGCTCCTATTGCAAAATAAGTCATAATACCCTTATTGCTCAATTCATGTTTTTACCCTTTTGTCGCAACGTAAAACGTTTATTTGTCAACTTGATAGTAATGTAAGTATTTTACGGTGGTAGAAAATCAGGTAAAGGTCTTGACTGAAATTTGAACTGGAATGTCACCTTCGACTGTCTAAACCACAGCGTAATTGCTGCAATGCATTATTAATTTTTCATAATGGCAACCCAGAACAAGAAAAAGATTGTCAGGGAAATATCAATCAACCTGATACAACGCTTTCTGTCCTCTGACATTCTGACTAACAATGTTAGGTTGATGTCATTGCTGTGGCATTAATGATAAGCATTGCGGGCGCTTGTTTCCAATACGCAGTTCGTTTTAAGATTACACTATTTGCACTGATGTTTTCCATTCCGTGATGAAAAGTAAAAAAGGGTAGGCACCGCGTGATCAGTTAAATAATGTATTTTCTTATTAAGAACTTAAAGGATTTTTATTTATTTCTCTGATGTCATGGGTATTATGCATGCTCTAAATTAATCTGCTGTGTCCTGGGGAAATATTAACGTCGAGAAGTATGACCAACAAATAAAAAGCATGCAATAAAAGTTTCTATTTTACTATCTTTGTATACATTAACGGTATAAAATTACGCCACGTATATCTTATAAGATTCATGAAGTGATTAAATCTGAGGAATTGTCATTTTATTTCTGTTGTCGCCATTAATGATGTCATAAACCCAATGCTCTGAAAGGTCGCGCGTCGCCAAATAGGTGTTTGATGGCTCTGTGTATTACGAAATGTCGTTATGTTTACCTATAAATTAACCATTAAGATTTCACACAAAGGTCGCAGCAACTCTCTTAGTCCATGTATACCTAGCTTCAAAGGATGGCAACCCAGGTTTTCAAAACATTGCGGCAGGTATTTTAGTTTTTATACGAGATTTACACACATCGTCGTTTTCGTGTGCGAAATAGAAAGCGCAGAAGAAGAGAACAGGATGCAAGGACATGCGAGTTTTATTTTATGTTTGCGTTATAGATTATATACAATGGCCGAAACGTGAACCAGCACAAATATCTGAGATATTACATTCATTTTAGAGATCTTTTTAACAGGAAATAAACACGTATTGTAGTGAACAAGATTACCACTGTTTTATCAGGTGGCCATTCAAGGTCGTACATTTAAATATAGCTCATATTTTTGATGACCTGTCCCGTGGAATTTTGTATCCAATTGCTTCATGAAAGTTTTCACATATTTTCATAAATAATATTTTACTTTTTTAGGAAAAACGACAAAATCCTTTCCTGTATCTTGAACTAAAATGTTTTCATTATTTTAAACTACTAACAAACATCCAAGGACCTTAGATAACTTTTTTCTCGTATTTATTTTTGTAGATTTTGTATGCATATTTTCACCAGATATATGACAAATCATGTGTTTAGACATACCTTTAAATCAGCATTCCCGTAATAGGGGTAAGCTAATCCCCGACTACACCACGAAATGACATTGTAATTCTTTTATTAACAAAACTACGGCAAAAGGAAAATGGTTCCGTCATTAATAAAAGCACAAAAATAATACATGATGCAGAACAAATCAATATTACAAACCGGAAGCAGAGAGTATCAGTCAATGGTGAAACGTCTAAATGGATGGAGGTAACTAGTGGGATTTCACAGGGTAGTGTTTTAGGGCCATCCTTATTTGTAATCTACATAAATGACCTCCCAGAAACAATCAACGCAGCAACATTCTTGTTCGCAGATGATACAAAAATTTACAATTATGATCAAAATATTACCCTACAGGATGATCTTGACCAGCTCCAAGAATGGTCAGATAAATGGTTGTTAAAATTTCACCCCGACAAATGTAAAGTATTAACCTTAGGAAAGAACATAAACAACGCGCCACTACATTTGTATAAAGATACGGAAGATGGGAGGGTCGATGTCACTTTGGAAAACATAACAAAAGAAAAGGATCTAGGAATTATTACGGACAATCACCTAAATTTCAGCGATCATATCCACGAATCGGTCAATAAAGCAAACAGAATAATGGGAACTATCCGAAGAACTTACACATATTTAGACAATACAACATTCTGTCTTTTGTATAAAGCGCTTGTAAGACCGCACCTGGAATACGGGGCCAGCGTATGGAATCCATACCTACAAAAACACATAAATGAACTGGAAAATGTACAAAGAAGAGCGACTAAACAAATACCGGGAATGAAGGAGTTGAACTATGATCACAGATTAAGGATATTAAAACTACCAACACTCAAGCATAGAAGACTGCGAGGAGACATGATTCAAGTGTACAAACTAACTCACGGAGGATACGATAACGCGGTCAGCGAAGGATTTTTATGCCTAAATAATAACAAAAGAACAAGAGGCCACAGTCTCACACTACTAAAGGGGATGTGCAGGTTGAACTTAAGAAAATATGTTTTTAGAGAACGTATTGTAAACCACTGGAACTCCCTACCCGATACTGTCGTCACCTCACCAACAATCAAAACATTTGAATCCCGTCTGGATAAGTATTGGGGACAACCTGATTGTTTCTATAACCATGAGATAGACAATAATGAACTTATTCATTGCCGGGACGTCAGCATAGTGTCTGACGATATTCCAGATCTGGATATATCGGCATATTGCCTGCGTCCAGTATTATTATTATTATTATTATTATTATATTATTTCTAGTACTCCGTACACATGTAGCCAAGAAATTTATTATGATTTTGCTAGTTATCACAAATTAGTTATTTGGAATCGAGAAACTTGTGAAGTGAGTACTGATTGGACCCAGATTGAGGAACTCGTGTTATGTCCCATGTCAAATTAAAACTCATATTGTTTTCTCTCTGTACAGGCAGACCGCGCAAGTTAGCATCACGCGATCACAGGGGCATCAGCTTCAGATCGGGGCGACATTTTTGGCGCTGATACACTGATAAGATACGTGTGGTCTGTCGAAGAGTTGTGTGGAGTGACCACCCAAATGGGTAAGCAGGGCAGGACTAAGGGACAGAAACAGGCTAGGCAGACGACGGTTAATCAGTCAAAGGGCAAGGCCAAGAAGGAGACTGCAGTGTTTAAGGTAGCCGGCGTGAGAAAGGCCAAGACAAAGATGGTCAGCAGCAGTCTTAAAAAGGTGAGATTATGCTTGCGTATTAGATGTCAATTAATTAGGCTCCTCTGAAGAATTGTGGAGGGTTGATGGTGCTACTGTGTCTATTTCTAGGGAACATTGATGAAATACGAAATATTATGTTACAGCCATAGCAACACATTGGACACCTTACACTCTCTTACAATTAACCCCTTTTCTATCGCGCGGTGCTGCACGGCCATAAAGTGTCAGTACACTATAAACATACATCATCGGTACAAATCAAATTCATTGACTAATAATAGCATTGGTATAGAGAGTTGATACATGGAGCACGTTACTGGCCGTTTTTACAACAACAACAAAATTAAAAATCAGTTCACAGTTATGTCAAGAGAGACAAAAGTTGGTAATATCAGAAAAAATATATTAGAATGTATAAATTTCTTTATATACTGTCGAAACTGTTGGTAAGCCCGATATCGGAAATCGTTCAACTTACGAAGTAAATTACACAAGGAATGTTTACCATTGTTAAAACATTTTAAATCAGTTATATATTATTCTTTAACATCAGATTGGGTGGTCGGGTGGTGCAGTGGATAGCGCACTTGCCTTTCACCAAGGCGGCCGGGGTTCGATTCCCCGATCGGACGTGAAAAGGTTGGGGTCACCTGCCCGACCACGTGGGTTTTCTCCGGGTACTCCGGTTTCCTCCCACACTAAGACCCCCACGCGCTAACATCCGGGCCAACAAGTGTGATTAATATAAGTTGAAATAACTTGTTTCATAATTGTTGTTAAATAAAATAAATAAAGTTTATATAACATCAGATTGAGATAGGAAATTCTACTTTAACTGAAACATTTGGGATCTGTGTATTTTGTGTTTGTTATAACATCTTGGTTTAGCGTCCTGATAACAGCTTGGGTAATTTCAGGAGGTTTCTCCATGTCTGTTATGTAACCATGTTTGCTGGAAGTGGTATGTTGGTGTATATGCCTCCATACGACAGCGCTGATCTTGTGCCTACTTTAGCGTGCTTCTTTGCTAAAATATCGTGCCGAAGTAACTGAATGAATAAAACAGTTCTTACAGCTACCAACTTAAAGCTTAATGTCAAGGTAATGACATTTCAGTGAGATGATACTTTAAATTTGACTTAAAAGGACCCCATTATCTGTGGACTCCTTCGTCTGTTGACCTAAGGTATCGTGAGGATGTAAAACCCCAAACAAACAATCAATTTTCAAATGTGTCTTCAGGGGTGAATGAGTTAATGTATGCGACTCTTCGGGATCGTCACCAGACAAGTTCTTCTGATAGTTCAAAAAACACTCATGTAGAGATCGCAATTAGAGTAGGCTTTATCACCTTTACCTAAGATGTTTACTTCAAGTGACTTAAACAGAATAAGCAAACTTCGAAACATTAAGAAATTATCGCTTATATACAAGACATGTTTCAAGCCAACGGATTTCAAAACAAACGCAAACTTTTTATAAACGCTATAGAACGTGAAGTATATACGAAGAAATTGTGTTGATGTTCATTCTATTGATCCTGCATAGGTTTGAGAGAGGGGCCAAAAGGGCATGAACTTTGGATACCTTAGTCTGAGTGGAGGTCAACTGAGTAATTTACATGTGTTGTATTGCTGGGATGCGCGATGTGCTTGCTGTTATCTGTTTTCATGTTCTCTGATTAAATCATGGTTATGTCGGGTCGTTTCTAGGGTGTGTGTGTGTATTCGGCACATTGATCTCGCCCACACAAACACAAGTCTGGCAACAACGCCAAAGCAGGACCGTGCTTTGTAATAACTTACATCATAATTCGTTTGGACTTCTAGTTACATTGTGGTTTCTTTCGTTGTTATTTATTAAAAAGTACATGGTAGTTCATTCTAACTACTTTCAAATAACTCTTCCTGTTTTATCTCATTCCGAAAGCTGACCAACTTTCGGTGCGTTTCTCGGATTACTCAGTCACAGAGTATATTAATACATCGCGTTACAACGTAACGTTGACACAGTAGGTTAAGAACCATCAACGAGCTATACAAAAAAAATCCTTCTTAGCAATACACTCTAGTATACAGAAAGTCGATCTGAGTGACAATACGCCTGAGGCGACAGTAATCGATCGATCTGGTTTATTTCATTCATAGCATGAATATGGGACTGTAGGGAGAGCTCCGAAATTTCCTAACGGGGAAAATTCGGTAAACACATGTTTTAAAAAGACAATACACTGTACCAAGACTGAGGGTTTTTAAGCCACTGGTTAAATCCCTGCATTATCGTGTTATACTTATTCTGTATCCTCTATCGGAAATACACTGGAGACCCAAATTGGTCTGCTGCTTTCATTGGAACATTGGACGTCTCTATGTTTCTAACATTCTCTTTTATTTTATGGTGTATATTTCCCGTTTCTGATTAGGCATTTTTCTAAAAGAAAGCGGGCGAGATGTAATGCTGTCATGTCGAAAATATGAACTTTTCAGTGTGTTAGCACTTTAAAGTCCTCTAGCTGTGGTCCGTTCATTTGTGAACACCCCTTTCATTTCACCATCGCTGTGGCGAAGATTATCAACTAATCGAAAGAAAATCCCTATGATAATAACATTTGTCGACCGCACTGCCTGCTTCCATCAGCTGTTCAAATTTGTTCTCTGTGTCGGTGTTATTGATGCCTGTCTGTCGTGTTTCCGTGTTGTGCTCGTCTTGTTTGGCTAATTAGCATATCTACCTGTGTTATTACCTGTGTTTTACCTGTGTTTTGGCCAGGTCTTTGATGTACGTATCAGTCTGTATCTCAGTGTGTTAAGGCTATTCTTATCTGTTTAGTATTGGTGACACACTCGTGATATGAATGAAAGTTCCCAGTAAGTCTGACATCAATTCTAGATGAACGTTTAGATGAAACGTGAAACTTAAATATAAGCTTGCGTTTAATGTGTATAAGAGTAAGTTGATGAAGGTAATTACTGCAATTTGTTTTCAATCTCTTTTCAACAAAATAAGAACATTCAAATCAGATATACCTGGTATAAAAAAAATCAAATTAATTCCATCTCATGATGACATCAATTATAATCTTGATGTGCGCTTTTGGTTCTATTTTCAGTCTAGTACCTTAGCAGCATTTTCACATTACGTAACAGTATATCAGAATTCAATTTGAAATAAATTTTCATCAGAATAATGTATATCGTTTACCGACTTCTGAAAGGAAAAACAGGAAAATTAAACATTACGTTTTCAAGATAGAATTATGTATTACTGTTACCATCTTTAAAAAATTAATCTTGAATATATTATAGCCGTGATTAAAATCCTGCCGACTCACACCAATTTAATACATTTTTTTGTTACATTCACAACAATATATATATTCGATGATATATATGATATAGTGTTGTTTACCATAGAAAGCGTAGGAAGCCAGTGATAAGTATGTCTGTTATATGGATGGAATTATGTGATACTGTAATTATTTTAAAATATAAAACATGTACACATGTACGATAGACATCTTGTCGACTCATGCATGTACCGATTTTATTTTAAAAGTTATTTTGTACCCATTTGACATGTCTAGTCCCTTAATAGTTCGTAAAAGTATCCCGAGTGTCTTGTCTGCAATAGCGTAACCCTTCAAGACGGAAATCATTTATACGAAAAAATCAAAACAAAATATAATTATAAATAAGACGCATAAAGTAATTTATATGATTGAATATGTCCACATCTAACACGTTCTTCAGTTTCATTTGTTGAGAATTTTGCTTACTTTATATTATCTACATATAGCAAACGTTTTATGTTGATACCATCCTAATGACATTTGTCTTCATCGATTCCATTCTTTCGTGTTATCACTGATAACTAAATCAAATACCAGCATTATGTCTTAAATGTGTTCACGTGGTCATTAATAATGCTCATATCCTGGTATTTTCTTTCAGTTAAATGTTCAAACAAAGTCTAAAACGGAAGAAGCCAACAAGAAGTTCGACAGACTCAAGGAAACATTAGCGTCAACACAGGTTACAAAACCACCCAAGAAGGTAAGCACTTCTGTAATGCGTACTCTATCGCTTGTTGGGAGGAGCAACTTGTTTGCGTCTTTCACGGTTTGGTGTTTGACAAAAGGCAGAGGTCTGTCAAGCAGATACAACCGCAGTTAGTCAAATAGTCCGAATCAGGTAAAAAGAATCCATCATATCTATTACAAAGTGAGACAAAATATTGATTCAGTTCTATATCTACCCGTAATAAAATCGCATGACATGATTTTAGTACTGTGCAATGAACGTGTGCTGCTCATAAAGTGATATGTGATATCATTATTACCTGATTTAGTATTTCTATTAATGCATTGTCCATCGAGAGAAGCAATAATTCATCGTATCAAAACAAAAAACAACAAAAACATGGATGATATCCTTTATGGTTTATTTCAAAGTGAAGCAAAATAGTGTCGATTATATTTTAGAACTAGACATTAAGGAAATAATCGGGTAGTCTGTACGAATTCAATATTCCAGACAGTGTTTAATAAGTTGGTATCCCTGACTTTCACAACCCTCCCCACCCCTGCAATGATTTAGTATCGCTGTCAGTTTATCTGCCTGTAAAAACGGTTACGTCTTGACTGCTCTAGATCTTCATCTAATATTAGTCATTAGAGAAACATTGATTTGCTGCCCCATTACAACACTCTGGACCTTTAAACTTTAGTATATGTTCGCGGACCCACTCTTTCCTTTTGGTGATGTGTTTTTTCACATCCATCTTCACCTGGCCCCAAATGTTGTTTTGACGTAAACCCAAAAACGAAACAAAAACCTTATTTTGAATGAATGTAATTTAATTCAACTCTGTCCAAATTGTCGTTAAAGGTAACATACACCATTATAATTCTTGGTGCCTTCTTAAAACACTGCCATGAAAAAGGGTCTTCTTCAAACACTGCCATGAAATAGGGTAAATAAAGCATTGCGAATAGTGGCTTTTAAAACATTGTTGACCTGCAGAGGTGTTAGCATCAAGCTAGAAAACAGTTAACGTTCGTTTTAGTCAGTAGAGACGCCCGAGAGACTTCAGTTCCCCTTCCATGCTAATTATGTCCATCGTGTTAAGATATAATTAATTTATCAATAAAAACACTCATTATTGATAAAACATAGCATCGAATCAAAGCAGTACCAAAACCATTAATTCTGCAACAAAACAGAAAAATAACAGCAAGTACATTGTAGTATTCTAACGGAGGATCAGGAATTTCCTGCTACGCTGAAATATTGTTAAATCCGATCCCTGTTTATAGGATATAGTATATAGCATGTTTGCACGAAGCAGAATACGCTAGGTTTTGTTTCTGTGTAAGATATAGCTAGAAAGCTTAGGGTCGTGTTAACCTTTGTGGTCCGTAGATTTTAGTCCAGGTATTAGCGTTTCGTTTGAACTTCTCCTTCCCTTGCGGTTTCATTCATCGTAGTGTAACACAATAGGTGTATAACTTTTGTTTTTAAAAATCAGGAAACAAGCCTTCATGCACAACCACTTTTCATGAGGGATTGGCTTACCACCGGGATGAAACTAAACACAATAACACCTGCGGGGACAAGAAATAAAATTTGCCTAAAATCTAATGCACCAGGTCAGGTGTAAAGCATATTTCATCACATTTGACTTTAATGTTTTAGGCGAAGGGCACCAGATGAGATAAGCAAACAGGTAGAACCCGTAGAAAAAAAAATTAAGTCAAAATTATAATTCACATTACATGCATAAATGATTTGGCTGTGTTATATAGGTGGCTTACCGACAGAATTGTATGTAATGTACATGTAGTACGTGTACACACCTCATTAGTATAACGTGTTTTATACCAGTTAAACAGGCTGTTTATAATAAATAATTACCTGGGAAATAATGAGTCGCATTTATGTGCATTATAGAAGAATAAGTTTTAAGGCCACTTTAAGGGATTAGGGATTTTTTACACAAAAAAACCCTTACAAAGTAAATTGCAGGTGACGACAACAGGTGCGATCCCATAACTACACATTCACACCTGGTTTTTACTTCTCAGATACATTAACAAAATGCAACTCCGTGACTTCATGCAAGTGTCAACAGCGCCTTAAAGTGTCGCTTTTTTGCCAATTTGACAAGATATTTTAGTGTGCGTTACATTTTAGTGAGTCAGAGAGACAACCTTTGCTAACATCCATCTTCAATTTTATGAGGAAGATCTGTGAACCCAAAATTGTATGTTAGCATCTGTTATATAATCATATTTGTATTAAATGCCTTTTGTATATAAAATAGAAAACATGCATCAGGTGCAACTGTTGTTTACTAAGCAAGGAATGTTTTTGCAAATAGTGTTATGGTCCGGTAACAGGCATTGCGATTTTGACAAACTTATGTACGTTTTTCAGCAGTTACTCTACGTGCTGTACATGTAGGACCTCAACAAAACATCGATAACTTAAAGTTACATTTTGAAATTGTAATTATGCCTTTGAGATATTTCACTCTCCTAAAGTCAGATATTGTATTATCTATTATATAATATACTAGTATAGTCTTGTCTGGGTTAATCAGGATGGAAATGGTTCTGGCGTGATGTTGATGTTGATGTTGATGATGATGTGTGCGAGTTAGTGTGAGTGTCATGATGTTGATGTTGATGATGATGTGTGCGAGTTATTGTGAGAGTCATGATGATGATGATGATGATGTGTGCGAGTTATTGTGAGTGTCTTTGATGATGATGATGATGATGATGATGATGTGTGCTAGTTATTGTGAGTGTCTTTGATGATGATGATGATGATGATGTGTGCGAGTTATTGTGAGTGTCCTTCAGTTTCACGAGAAAGGATTAGCAAAACCTGTGTAGTACTTCAATATTATTACAATGTTTGAACACTGATTACAGGAGAGTTATTCAATTCAATTCATTTCAGTTCAATCACTGCATTCTGTAAACTATAACAAAATACATGCATTTACAATTTGTACAAAGTTAATGCAGTTGTTCAGGAGAGTGAAAATTATGAATTAATACATGCACACACTACGCAAACACGAACGCATATGCATGTTATAGATATAGTCGTTCCTTTGCCTACGTTAATTTTTCTAGAATATGCAAGTCAGGTTGAGAAAACTTTATCATTAAATATCCGGAAGTGAACCTGCACATTTTGTTATGTATATTTAGAGAAACCTCACATTTAAGAATGTTCTTTTTATTTGATACATTTTAATCTGGGCAGGTCGGTTTATACTTCAAAGTAAACCCTTTGTCAAGGTAGGGCAACTTGACAAAAGGACCATTTCTTGTTGTTCGACTTATGCAAATGATATGTTGTCTAGAAAAAAAACGTCTCTATTGTTGTTTTATAGATTATACAAAAGCGTTTGATTTTATTAACAGACAGAATTTATGGTATAAAATGATCAAAGAAGGTGTAGAAGGTAAACTTCTTAAAGTGATCAGATCATTATATAAAAGTGTGAAATGTTGTGTTAAATATAATGGTACTCTCTCCAAAATTTCAATATTTTACGAATATTCAAATATGTAGGAAATTGAATTCTAAGGTCATGCTATGATGATATGCTTTCTAATAATGACATTTGGTTAATGAGTGTAAAACAAGAATTATACAGAATTGGTCTTGGAAATGTGTGGGAATCCTCCAGTTTAAATAATAACCCTTTTCATATTATAAAAGAACGTCTTTGTGACATATTCAGACAAGAATGTTTAGAAAAAATTCAATCTTCTCCTAAAGGAGTATTGTATCAATTTGTGTGTAATTTTGGTCACCAGCATTATTTATCAAAACCTGTAAATATAAATTATTTAAAACTAATATGTAAAATTTGAATGTCTGCACATAAGTGAAATATTGAGTGTGGCAGATATAATAGAACTGAGAGACAAAACAGATTGTGTACAGTATGTGACCTGAATGATGTCGAGGTTGAGTTCCATTTCACTTTAAAATGTCCTTGCTATATTGATATAAGGTTGAAACTAATTAAGAAATATTATGTAAGACATGCAAGCATGTATCAATTAGTTCAACTGCTTACTTGTGAGAATGTATCCGACATTCGAAATCTTGGCAAATTTTAATACAAGCAAACAAAAGGAGATCTGAGCTGATTGCTGGTTAGTGTTCACTCTCCACGGTGTGTGTGTGTGTGTATCATATTGTATGTTGTCCCTGTATTGTTTTGTATATGTTATAACTGATAAGTCAACCGACTTAAAGTAATAAAGAACTTGAACTTGAACTCTTTGCGAATGTGAAGTCAAATTTGGTTGCAATGACATCTAATTAACGAGATCTCAAGATCACGCTTAATTTGATAAACATAAGCAAATTAGTAATCCGGAAAAAAGACCATAGTCCAGTCTTATTAGTGACGGCATTCTTTTACTTTCCTCTTAAAATGTTCAGAAAAAAAAAATTGCCCTGAAACTGATTTTGTGTGCGTGTTTTCTAGGTTCAGTCGGAAATGAAGGGACCGCCACCTGATGTCAGTGAAGCCGCAGAGGAGTTTGCTAAACTTTAAAGATAGCTGAAGGAACTCACAATACCTTAGAAGTCTACAGTCGGAGCTTATGAGAGGTCAAAAATAACTAGAACATGGAGAAATCCTGAAAGCTCTACACATGAACAGTTTCACTAAATTTATGAGATCGACAAAACATTTTGAATTGAAGTTTCGAGCGTACTGGTGTCTGGAACACCATGGATGTTCCTGAAAGAATTATTGTTGTTGATCAGTGAAATTCATCCTTAGACAATGTCCTGGTAATATTATAAAAGGAAGAACGGCCCTTCTTCGCGACGACTTTGTCTCTCCTCTTACTACAATACATGTAGAACTTGTATGGCAGATGTACAAATGCTGAAATTATCAGTTATACCAGATGGCTGCAGATTATTGTTTTATGAGATTGCTATGTGAATGTCGATTTTATATTAACACATAATATAAATATAATCATCTTATATTCGACTTTCGTCAGTTTTTATGTAAATGTGTGATGGCGTGGCCCATCAGTCGATCCGTTGTCATTTTCAAAGGAAAAATAATTTCTCCGAAGATTGAAATAGTGAAAACCACTATTTTAAATTATGAATCATCGTGTGCCCCTAAGCTCAATATCGATGAATTAATTTATTTGTCTTCTGAAAAGTTATGGAGTTATCTCCCTATAAGAGTTATTCCATTAGCCGAGTGTTATCAATTTTAATTTTCTGTGTACTCTTTCAGGGTGTTATTCATTGGCGATGCATCCCATAGTTCTAAAAAATAAGCCCAATAACAATATCACTTTTTATTTGCCCTATGAATAGGGATGTTTTGGAGTTATCCCTCCTTTAAAAGTTACCTACAGTAATTACAGAGTGTTACCAATTCAATTTCCTGTGTACGTTTCCAACGTAAGATTTATTTGATTACATCTGTAACCACGTCAAAATAACCATTTATTGATACATTACAGGTTCTTAGTTAATCACTTTCTTTTGAGAATGTGATATATGCCACAGTAATTGGAAAACATATAAAATATTCATAAATCAAGAACAAAGCCAAAATTCAAATACAAATGAAAAACTTTATTGAGAAAAAAAACAAAACAAACTTAAATCCATACCATGTGAAATGTACTACATTCCTCCTTCATCCTAAAACTTGTCCAAATATATATTTAATAATTTCTGGATCTCTATGCAGGTTTTGTGGTACAAGGGCAATAACTCTTAAATTTATAATAATAACAAAATACTGGACATCTATTTGCATGCACGTGTTTCAAGTTAAGCCAATACTTTTCACATTTGTGTAAATAATAAACATAAAAGGCCCCAACCCACACACACACACACACACACACATGCACAGAATATATGAACTTGGGCAAGTATGCATACACACACTCCTCATCTTCTTGTTTTTACTAGTAATACTTTTTTGCAATAAAAATTGCATTTGAATATGTATTAAATCCATGGAACAATTTTGATAAAGGATAAATGTTCATACATTTGATCTGGAAAGTTGCATCAATCAAACTTCCAACGACTGTATACATTATCATATAAATAAAGCATCTGTAAACCTAATCCCCTTACATCACAAACCGTTTTGATCCCCAGTGGTATTCAGTTAAGACAGGTACCACTGCAGTATAAATCCAGTTTAGACAGGTACCACTTCAGCATATAAAATGATTGCATCAAGTTTGTATCTTGCAGTATTTAGTAGTCACTAAATATCAAATGTAACAGTATTACAAGTACTTCACAGTGACAAGCTTCATTACAATGTAACAGTATTACAAGTACTTCACAGTGATAAGCTTCATTACAATGTAACAGTATTACAAGTACTTCACACTGACAAGCTTCATTACAATGTAACAGTATTACAAGTACTTCACACTGACAAGCTTCATTACAATGTAACAGTATTACAAGTACTTCACA